TAGGCATTGAGTCATAGGGAGTGTGTATCCAGGCTAAGTCCTCGGGGCTATAGTGGGGAGTTTAAGGCAGTTCCCTTGCTCCAGGATCAACAAGAATGGGCAGGATTGTGGAGGTCAGGGCTATTTCTTTAGCTGTCCTGTCAGCCAGATTATTTCCTTTCTGGGTGGGGTTGTTTCCTTTTTTGTGTCCCGGGCAGTGGATTATGGCTAGTTTTGTTGGGTCCCAGAGGGCTTGCAGGAGGTCTAAGATCTCGTTTATTTTTAATAGTCTTTCCCTCTGCAGTAAGGAGGCCTCTCTCTTGATAGGTGGCCCCATGGATATGGGCAGTGGCAAATGCGTATCTGTGTAGACGTTGAGTCTCTTTCCTTTACCCATCTTTAGGGCTTTGGTAAGCGTGATCAGTTCAGCTTTTTGGGCCAGTGTACCTATTGGCAGTGGCTCGGCCCAAATAACTCTCAAGGCGGTTGTGACCGCTCCCCCAGCATGCCTTTTACCATTTCTGATGAAGCTGCTTCCATCCGTGTACCAGGTTTCTTCGGTGTCAGGCAAGGGAACATCTTTCAGGTCAGGTCTGATGCAATGCACCTGTGCCAGAATTTCAGTACAGTCATGGAGTGGGTCCCCGAGATCAGGATCTGGCAACAGCATGGCTGGGTTCAGGGCCATTGGTACCTGGAAGGTGATCCTGGGCAGATTTAGGAGCAGAGCCTGATAATGAGTTAATTGGGCATTGCTCAACCATCGATCGGGGGGTTGCTTGAGCACCCCCTTGAGGGCATGAGGGGTTGCCACAAGCAGGTCCTATCCCAGGGTTAACTTGTTAGCATCCTTAACCAGCAGGGCCACTGCTGCTATAATTCGCAGGCAGGGGGGCCATCCAGCTGCTACAGTGTCTAATTTCTTTGATAGGTATGCAATAGGTCTCTTCCAGGGGCCTACTCTCTGGGTGAGGACCCCTTTCGCAATATCTTTATGTTCATCCACATATAGACAGAAAGGATTACTTATGTCTGGTAGTCCTAGGGCAGGGGCCTCTAAGAGCTTGCGTTTTAGGATTTCAAAGGCCTCTTGCCTTTCCTGCGTCTAGTTGAAGTCCTGTCCTTCTTTGGTAGCCTCATATAGGGGTTTTGCAATTTTGGCAAACCCCAAAATCCAGAGGCGGCAGAACCCCATGGTACCCAGGAATTCCCTCACCCATTTTCTGGAGGTCGGT